TAAATAAAGAAATTATTAAGTTACACAAACAAATAAAATTTAATTTTAATTTTAACAATTAACTAATTAAAATGATATTATAATTTTAAAATTTTTTTTTTCAATTCTTAAAAAATAAACAAATAAACACTAACCTTATTTCTTAATAGTCTAAAAATTTTATTTTCCATTAAACCTATGTACCACTTAAATTACATTTCTACTTCAAAATTTTGAGATATCTCACTCATCATCAAGAACTTACAAAATTAGAGGGTTGACTCCACGTCAACGAATTATTGTTTTCCCTTTTACCGTGCCTTTCTTTAGTTAATTTTCGTTTTCCTTTTGGTCATCACCTATAAAATCAATAAAAAGGAGATCTACATCGACTGCATATTTAGAGAACATATCAGAGCCAGATCAAGGAAGCAATCAACAACACATGCTTAGTTGCAAACTTGGTAAGTATTTACTTCCATCTCACTGCCTAGCTATCTTTTTCTTCTGTTTTCTCTCCTTTTCTTTTCTTTTCTTTTCTCTTTTTTGGATGATTTTGTAGTATTTGTTATGGGACAAGATGTACAGCTTATGATCTGTGCTTGCACCCTTCTCCAGTTATTGCATCATTATGGTGAAATCCATACTCTATTCCTAAACAATTAACGGAGTTTGTTATCTGATGACATTGAAGAAGTTATATATGTCAATTAGGTATGTAAGAGTCTTCTTTTCTTTCAAGATTGCGTTCTTTTTTTTTTTTCCTTTTTAAAAAATACATATATACAATTTTTTACTTTTTAAATCTCTTTCTAACTTATTTAAAATTTTTAAATTAAAAATATCAATTTTAATTTTAACTAATTAGGTTTGCTTGAGACTTCTTTTTTTCTGTTCTTTTTTACAAAGACATACGCTAACTACAAAAACATTGATTTACAAAAATTTTAAAATTTTTTTTTTTGCTTAAAAAATTTTAAATACTATTTGCATATATTCATGAACTCTCCAATTTTTTAGACTTGGCCCTTATCTTCAGAAATTTATAAAGGTTAAATGCTCATTTTGGTCCCTCAACTTTAGTGGTTTGCACATTTTTGGTCCCTTGAGAATTTTTTGCACTTTTTTGATCCCTCAACTATAAGAAATGCACTCCGTTAATCCTTC